GCCACATAATGGCACTCAAGATGATCTGCTCCATGACCTTCCCCGGCACTGAGGTCAGACTGACAGGCCTGTAGTTCCCCAGATCCTCCTTCCGACCCTTCTTGTAGAGGGGCGTCACATTAGCTAACTTCCAGTCATCTGGGACCTCCCCGGTTGACCAGGACTGCTGATAAATGATGGAGAGTGGCTTAGCGAGCTCCTCTGCCAGCTCCCTCAGTATCCTTGGGTGGATCCCATCTGGGCCCATGGACTTGTGGTCATCCAGGTGGAGAAGCAGGTTTCTAACTGTTACCTCTTCAAATACTGGGGCTTCATTCTGCTTCCTGTTTCCATCTTCCAGCTCAGGGGCCTGAAAACCCCGAGGATGACCAGTCTGGCTATTAAAGACTGAGGCCAAGAAGGCATTAAGTAACTCAGCCTTCTCCTCATCCTTCCTGGCAATGTTTCCCTCTGAATCCAACAAAGGAGGGAGATTCTCCTTGGCCCTCCTTTTGTTGCTGCTATATTTGTAAAAACATTTTTTGTTACCTTTCACTGCAGTGGCCAGTTTAAGTTCTAGATGGTCCTTTGCCTTTCTAATTTTCTTCCTGCATAACCTAACAATATCTTTGTAGTCCCTTCAGCTCTTATCAGCTGTGCTAACAGAACTCTGTTTGACCAGCTTCACCATTGCCAGGACTTTGGAAAGTCCTTCCCAGTTGTGCAGATGTCAAATAAATACCAATTTGTAAAAAAAAAAAAAACAAACCAAACCATTTACAGACTGCAGATACAACACTTCCTGAATAGACGTTAGATAAAATACATAGCTTTCTTCTAAAGTAAAGCTTCAAAAATTAATTATACAAATGTGTATAAATGAAAGCAATGAATGCTGATAGAGACCAGGTATGGTGGCAAACACAAAAACAGAAAAAAAGGGAGAGAGAGAGTGTGTTAGGAATAAATAGCATTTAGATGTGGCAAGCTGGAAGTTAGCATACTATAATAATCTCTGTTATGTTGGAGTCAGTATACAACATCTCTTTTTCCTAGTCTTTGTCAACAAAAAACCAGCGAACTGGAAGCTTGGTTGGAAATAGATTCATTTCATTCTGTAGTTTCTTAACACTAGTGCATTCCACAGTATTTTACATTATATTTATTCATAATCTATTTTTAGTCACATTTCATTTGTGCATAACGTATGTCAGGTATTGTGATGGCAGTTTTTTCACGTCATAAATCACAGGAGAGCTGTTTCTGTAATAATTTATTACCTGAAAGCTGTGATTAAGTCTGTCTGTTTAATTTTGGTTCTGATTACCAATGCAAATACTGAGGCATGTGCCTAACTATAGGTAAGTGCTATTGTCACTTAGTAAATGGGACTGTTCACCCCTTTTGCTTTCAGCATGGGAAAAAATAGGTCACAGCAGTTTTGATTATACCTTGAATTTTTATAGAATCAGGACTTTTATTTCACTCATTTCTTTGGTAACTGAGCACTGTAATGACATCAGAATTTCACGCACTAGGAAAGTCTGTAATAACAAACTTCATAGTACTGTCACCTGTGTACGTTTTCAGGGTTACTTAAAGAGTTCGTGGCATTTCCAAATAAGATAATTAGAACAGGGTTTTTTTTTTAAATGAAACTAGATAGGAACTCCTCAAATTACTTGAATCTGATATTTGGAGTACCTTCTGCAATAATAATACTTTGTGTGTTTCATTTACATTTTTAAAAATGGTATGGCAGACCACTTTAGGATGAATTAGAAGCTTTGGGTTTTTTTCTCCTCCGATGAGTAGGCATCTGGTGACATCTGGGAAGGACTGTAAAAACCTGAATTTGAGAAGATGCAAATTAACCGAACATTTCTTTGAAACCAGATTGGTGCCAAAAATCCACTAACTGATGCTTTACAACTGCATGAAAACTGAAAGGGGTAGTTCCTCCTTTTCCAAAGGTGATCCCCAGTATGCATGTTGCCAACTCTCCCCCAGAAGAAGGACTTTAACTCTGGACCTTAAAGATCAGCAAGAGAACACCGGATATTATGTAGTTATAGAACAAATAAATGTAAATTCCTGTTACAGTCCCCAGGTGCCTCAAGAATGGGTTTTTTATTCACCCTGGAATTTCTCAGTTCATATATTATCTATGTGTAGTTATTCTCCATATGTGAGAAACTGGAAATAGCTTTTTATTCTTGGTCTCATCTCAGGAGGTGCAAACTTATATCTGCAAATATATCTTTTTGCAAATCTAAGCTTTTTTTTTAATGAAGATGATATGTTGCTATAGGATAAAAAATTATTAGGAATTTTCCCTTAGAGGCAATTGAGAATTCTCTCCTCAGAAGAGAGACTACTGGGTGGCTAAGGGGAAAGAAAGTAGGACAGACCACAGCAAGTGAGAAGTCATTATGGAAATAGCTAAAAACTTTAGTTCACCTTTTCCATTGCATTCTTACCCATGCTGAATATAAACTTGATTCCTCTGAAGAGCTTGTCTGTGCTTTTTAACTTGACCTGGAACTCTCTTAAGACAGCGTTTAAATTTAAAGGGCTTGTTAGGAAGATATTACTGTAGCAACAGTAAAGTAATATTTTTCAGATTTGATAAAATGCTTTAGTGTCCTTCTTGACTGAATCTTTTCCAGATTTCACAGTAAGAAAGTTTTTCAATGTATTTTGGGAATGAATTATCAAAAAATAGTCCAGTGGCGCAAAGAGGAAAAGGATGATTTCAGATAGTGACTTTTGTTTTTAAGACTCTTATCCACAGTAATATTTTGCCATTCCATTATATGAGGCTTTAAAATATTAATAGAGTCATGATTCCCTTTTTCTGTGGCTCTGCTGAGGGACACATCTCTGTTGGTGGATCAGCTCTCCAGGCTGGTATGAGGCCTGATAGATCTGAGGGTTGTCCGACAGTGGCGGATGGTTGGCAAATGGGAAGGTCATATCAAGGTGAGTGTCATGAGTCATGGTGTATTGCCCCATTCTTACCCT